CAAAATGACGGAAATATGTATGTATACATGTATACATACATGTATACATACATATATAAAACTATATATGCGCAAAAACTAATAATAATATTTTATGTTTATATGTATATGTCTAACAAATTAACTCAATTCCGATAAAAGGTAAATATAAAGTTGTGCAAACGTAAAATATAACGTTGAATCAACTTAAAATACAACGTTTTGCAAACATAAAATACAACGTTGTGCCAACGTAAAATACAACATTGAATCAACGTAAAACATTACGCAATGCCGATTTGCTCAAGTCATTCAGCAAATCATATTTGACACCGCTTTTTACAGATGAATTTCAGCCGTGGTGTCAGGAAAGATCTGTATCAAAAAGCCTCCTCGCACTCTTTACTATGATACTCAAAAGTCAAAAAATTGACATACAAACCAAGCCAAATAACATTTCAGCTGCACATCTATAAACCAGCTACTTTCTTTTAATAGCTTTCACTTATTTATTAGCTATTTCATCTCTGTTTGGGTGTAACATATGATTGTTTGGGTGTAACATATGATTGTTTGGGTGTAACATATGATTGTATACTTGCACTGACAACTAAACCTGGTATTAATTTTTGTGTAAAATGTGTAAATAATGTTTGGTTGTCATAGCATGCCAATAAAATTAGAAATCCAGAAATAACTTTGCCAAAAGTTTCATTGTTGCCACTATTATAAGATTCTTTCAATAGTGTTGCCATGACACTCTATGAATGTAAATAAAAAAAACTCTATCCATTATTTTAATCCTAAACAGATCCGTGTTATCACATTGGATCATCAGTTTACTAAAACTGTTAAATGGGACTAGCCTGGTCTGTACGGGGAAATTAAATGTGTTGTATTGATGGGTGGTCTACACATTGAGATGGCTTATCTTAAAGCGCTTGGTATCTTATTTACAGAAAGAGACTCGGTTTAAGCTGTTTTTACAACCGGAATTGCAACATTTGGCACCGCTGAAGCTCTTTTATCTGCACCCCTGTAAATCATTGTCGATATGTAAATGAGGGTTTCTGTTTCTGCAGACTATTTATATGTATATATTTCTTACACTATCAGGCATAAGATTTGTATTGGAGTATTCTGGATTAGTTCAACTTTTGACTTTACCTGGTGCGTAAAGTAAATGGTTCATTCACATTTTACTTATTGGAGTTCAATCAAGAAAATCAATCTCTTTCTGTTTATCTTTGTCAGACATCTGCATACTTCTCATTTTGATCTATGCTTAGATAGTTCGGCAAAAATCCTACCATGATTTTTTCAAGTTTAGTTGAAAGATTTTGTTTAAGATTGTTTTTGTTATCAGGATTGTAAGTGTGTATGCGTTCCTGTAACGTAGCAACATATCTGTTTTTAGAATAAGGCGATTGCAATCTTATCTAATAAAAGCAAACGCTTTAAATTAACTTTAAACGACGATGATCTATTTTGCAGATTATCTCTCACATCAATCTCTCATATAAGCTCTTTGTTTTGGAACTACCTGATTTGAAATGTTACGTCCTTAAGCTTTTGCCTGTGAAAATCTTAAATCGTGTTCTAACAAAAAGGCTGACACTTGCCTCAATTTACATACACATTATGCTGTAAAGGTTGATTACAAGATTGTTGCCAACAGTTTTAGACTTTTAAAATCAAAAGTTTTACCAGCTTTTCATGCTTTTCCATTTATTCGTAGCAATACAACCGCAAAGATAAAAAATACTGCACAGTTTACTTGGTTTTTTAGAGATGATGTAACTGATGCATTTTTGGCGCTTTCTCATAATCTAATGACAGACAAAACAATGCTGTTGCTAAAAAAATTTGTTTTTATAGTATGACCAAACGATGTGTAAATGTAAATATGTTTTGAAGTGATTTTTTATTCAAAAGAACTGGCAGATTAGCAACATTTCACACGTGATTCAATAATGCCGTATGTGAAGTGTACAGTGTATTAAGCGTATATTTGGAGTCAAACAATAATAGTATTTTTACCTAGATCGCCATCTTTACCTAGCTATTAGGAATAGAGTTGGAAGCTAAATGGAACTAATTTTTATTGTTTTTAAGTGCCCCCAAAAAACAAACGTTCTTGTCTTTGTGACAAAACGTTATTTTTTATTTGTGGCACTTAAAATAAAAGTTAAAAAAAATCCTATATGGAAGATGCTACCTGAAGCTGATAAATACTGTCCTAAGTTAATTGATTATGGATGTCAAACAGGTTATACAACTTGTCGCTGTAAATGTTGTTTGCAGCTGTAAAGAAAAATGTACCAAAAATTAAAATGCAGCAATATATATATTTCTTAATTTTTTATATTTATTATATTTATTAAAAGTTGTTTTAAACTATTATGTCGTCTCTTACCAATTTTAATACGGGAGCGGATTTCTTTGTGAGTTACCTCCTCAGCACAATATCTAAATAGGTCGAAAAAAGCTGGAGGACAATTTTTAGTTATAGTAGAACAAACAAGTTCAGCTACATGCTTTTCTCTTATATCCTTTAATGAGTCCAGTATTTAATTCAGTCAGAAAAGGGGTTAAATGAGCATCTTGATTTGCTTTGCAAATAATTCACGATGCAATTTAAAAAATACCATGACATTTTTATTAAACGCTATCTATATGAAGACCAAAATTAAGATGTCAATCAAGGGTTACTCATAAAAATTTAAATAATTTGACTGGATTGATTATACAGCCGTCTTTTACCATCCGTAGATTATCCGACAGTTTCTTTCTAGGGTTCTTAAATATTATACTGTGTCTTTGACGAATTTATCGTAAGCCTATAAGACGTACTGTAGTCTTTGGTTTTATAAAATGTATGTTACGATTTCATTATTAGTGCATACGGTTCCAAATCTTCTTCAGAATGTGTAATATTGTCAGCAAACTGGGAGTTGGAGATAGTTGAAAGATCTCTAATGTAAAGTTTCGGACTAAGTCTATATCTCAGAGGAAGCCCTTCCTTTCGAATACGAGAAGTATTGACATTATTTTTTAAAATGATTTTTGTTTTAGGTGACCCAAGAAACTTAACGGTCTTGTCACAGAGCACTGTGGATAAGCATTTATCTAGGAAGTTCGCGCCTCTTTTCTTACCAATGGCGCAAAATATGTCCAGAACACTTTTATAAAACCTGGATCTCTTGCTACTGAAGCAAGCGCTCTAACCACGGCTGCTTAAATATAGGTATATAATTCTCTGGTTTTGATTTCGATTTTTTTTACCGTATCTTCAGCAGTGTTTTCATTTAGGTTTGCTAAATGCTGGTATACTATTTTGCAATCAAATTTTTTGAGACTGAATGAATCTTTAATGATGCAACCTGGAACTAAAAAAAACTTGCAAAGAGTATTATCGAATTCTCAACACTTAGGTGTTCATCGTTTAAAAAAAATGACAAATTGTCGAATTTTCTAGCTAATCAAGTTATGGAACAGTGATAGAATACAATATTGATGCATGTTGGTTTGTAGATTTCTAGAAAAGCAGTGTTTAATGATTTAAACCGCTACTTTTTTAATGTTCTTCTTTTAGTTGAAAGACAATTTACGTCCACCCACATATTGTCGTCCACCCTCATATTTGCTAGATATTATTTAGTTCAAACAACAATTTTTAAAAAACAGTTTGTTTTAAATGAAATATGTAGAAGGCCAGTCGAACTAAAAGGCAAATCAGGGCCGCCGATAGGGAGGGGGGGAGGGACAGTTTGTTCCGGGCAGCAGATATCCAAGGGACGCTAAATATAAAGAAGGTATCTAAAAAAATAAGGTCCTTCATTTATAATATAGAGAAATTTTGATAAATAAAGTTGCCAATCAGGGTTGCTGTCCCAGGCAGAGTGAAGGTTCTCGGCGGCCCTGAGCGATTCTACAATAAAAATGAGGAGGAGGGAGGGAGTGGTTCCCTAAAACGTACTAACTGGTTCCTTAAAAAAAAAAGTCTCAGAAACTAAAATTCACCCGACTGAATTTTGTCAAATACCTAACTACCCGGCTATATTCGTCAAAAAACCGACTATAACTAGAAAATCTTATCATTAAAAAAACTCACTGCTTTCTAAAAGAAAAAAAACATAAACTTAAAATTACCTAACTGAAATGTGTCATGACACATTTCAGTGAGTTATTATAAAAATGTATTTATTATAGTCTATTAAACACGTTATTTTTATACAAAGGTTAATGATTTAAAACTGCGGGGCATTATGGCATTGACCCATGTCATAATTATTCAAGGGTATTGTCTGGTATCATTGATACAGACAATACCCTTGAATAATTATGACATGGTCACAATGATTTCAAGGAATAGATTTATAAAAAAACGAAAGCGGTATTAGGCTGCATTCCGATAGCTATTGTCTAAATTGTTGTTAAATACTTGAAACTTTTTTTTTTTTTTCACTTATTACATAACTTTTTTTTTGTGTGACCTTATTTTATATAAATAGGTCCGAACAACACTAATGATGAAAATAATAGTATTTATAATACTAGATTTAATGCCGCGACGCATTGGCCGATGCTCAAAACAGTTTGTCTATATACCGAGAGAAAACAATCGTGCTAAACAGCATGAAATTTTTGTTTTTCATTCCAATTTGCCTGACTGTTGATACTTAAAACTACACCCCATACTTTAAATATTCAAGTGCTTTTTTTTATCTAGCAAAAATGGCAAAAATTGTAAATGATTTCTCTTGTACACTATAGTTGTATTTTTTACTATTTTTAACGTTTATATTAATGAAATGTTAAGTTAAGTAATTAATTTTAAATAAAAATAAGTATATTATTTTTTAAGTTTCATGTTTTATGCTCATTAACTGTCTTTTTAATTTTTATAATTATTACAGTCTGAAGTTATTTGAAAAATTTTCAAATAATGGCAGGATATTTCTATATTTAAAAACTCTAAAATCTTGTATAATAAAAGTAGTATCTTGTATCTTACTAGAAAAAAAATCTATTTTTAGATATACATTTAGAGAAATGGAAGTAATAAAAAAAATAATCTGTCACTTGGTTTTTATCCACATTATATATCTTGTAATTGTAAATTGCAATATAGAAAACCTTGATTTAAATTATACAAGTAACAAAGAAACCTATGATGAACTTTATACAAATGCATTAAAAGCATACAATGAAGATAATTACCTACTAGCCACTATATATTTAGAGAGAGCTATTTCTGACTATCATCACGCAAATGAAGTTAAAGCACAGTGTAGAATACAGTGTGATTTAAAGTTTAAAAAAGTTCAAACTTTGTATAGCAATTATTTTAATGGTGAATTAGATTATTTACATTACTTTATTAAAGTAAAATCATGTTCAGAGCTATGTGCTGAAAAATTTCTTGGTAGAAGGCAAGCTGTGGCAGGAGAAATACTTGCTTTATTTGAAAAAAGAGAACCTTACAATTACATTCAGTATTGTTATTATAAAGTAGGTTGTTTATGTTTTTCATGCTTTCCAAACATTTTTAAATTTAAGTCTAATAAATTTTAAGAATATTAGTTTGTTGTTATGGTGTATTGTGTATGTTTTGGATTATCATTACTGTTTGTCTTTTATTCTTGTTAAAATAATTTAAAATACAAAGAGTTTTAAAGTTAAATAAACATAATTTATAAAAAGGTATTTTTAATAGTTGAAGTTCTTGAGTTAAAGTAAATCAAAAAAGAATATGAGCTTAAGAAAAAATATATCAGCATAAAATGCATTATAAATAAATAAAATAGCTAACAGGAATGTAATAGGTGCACATAGCTATGGAATTACCATGAAGGTAAAAAAAAAAAGCAGGTTAGATTAAAAAACAGTTTTCTATACTTTTTACATCAAAAGTTGTAGAATCAACTGGGGAAAAATGAGTAGCTGGGATAAAATGGGTAGAGCAGTTTATCAAATTGGTTACAAACGCACTATTAATGTATTGAAATAAGTTTTAGTTTTTTGTGATAGTGAAATAAATTTTATTAAAAAAATTGTAATTAGAAATTTTTGTTACTGCGCTGCTTCTCTACAGGGTGTGCCGCCATTTTGGTTTTGGTTTCCATGTGCTTTCACCAACAGGTAAAACTTTGTTGTAAAAAATGATGCATTTAACACACACAGTCAAAAGTTATAGATTTATAAGCAGGAGAAGTTCCTCTTTTTAGGTAATAGTAACAGGAATGTGAAAAACCAAACATTTTTAAATAATAGTTGAAAAACCAGAATGGGGGAAAATGGGTATAACAAATACTAAGATAAGCTAATGCCACAGTCACAGTGATATCTAGCAGCATTTATTATTATGTAATATGAATTAAATGTAGAAATGATATACATTAATTCATTTGTTCTGTTTTGTTCTTTGCCTTCAACAGTTGCTGATTTGATTTAAAATGCAGAGGAATTGTATTGGCAAAATACAACCCAACTATACAAAGGAGGACTTGGAAAATGTAAGACTTATCATTAAGCAAAGAAGTTCAGTTTACAAAGTTTCAAGGGGAAAGAAAATTCCATATGAAACTTTAAGGAGATGGGTAGTTTAAACTCCAAAGGGAGTTAGTTCTGGACGACTCCTCGTTCTTACTGCTGATGAGAAACGCTTAATTGTTCGCACACTGTGGTATTTAGCTGAGAGTGGATTTCCATGGGATCGTTTTGACTTGATATCAATGGTTAAGTGTTTCATTCAAGAAAAAGGAATACCTAATCCTTTCAAAGACAACTGCCCTGGTGAAGACTGGATTACTGGATTTGAAAAGAGATGGAAAGGGAAACTTTCAAAACAAAAGCCTGAATCTTTAACCAAAGCAAGGGCAGAAGGGCTGACAGAAAGTGTTGTCAATGCTTTTTTTCAAATGTATGAAAATGTATTAGTTAAAAATGACCTTCTTGACAAACCGCACAGGATTTTTAATCTTGATGAAGTTGGCTTAGGGACAAACCCTATTGCTTCTAAAGTGTTTGTGTCAGTTTCATCACATACTGCTTATCTGAAATCAGCATGTGGAGGAAAAGTAAGTTACAGTGTTCTTTTCTGTGTATCTGCCTCAGTATGGTATTTGCCTCCATTTATTGTGTACAAACAGCTACATCTGTATAAGTCATGGACGAAAGGTGGACCTCCAAGTATTTGTTTCAGCTGTCAAGCCAGTGGAAAGCAATCAACAGCCAGTTGTTTCAGCTTCAAACATTATGGAATCAGAAGCACACAGACCTATGCTTCAAGTTCAACCAAGTGTTTCACTTTTAGAGACTCTTAACACTAACAGTAACACATCTACTGAATCTCCCTTTAAAGTGCTGCAGCGGGCAATTTTTGCAGACAATTTCACCAGGTTGTTCATGAAATAACATGGATGCAATTAGCAATGTTGGAAAAAAAAAGAAAAAGATTGCAGGCAAAGGTTGGAGAAGTCTTAACAACAGAGGATATTGCGACCAGGCTGTTTAATGAAGAGAAAGACAGATTGGCAAAGAAATCCAAAATAGCAGGTTTCAAAAATGAAAGCCAAACTAGTAGGCCTAACTGACAAACAAAAGAAATATTGGCTGAAGAGATTGAGAAAGTCTATGAAGAAAAGGACAACTTCAATGTAATTGTTGGGTGTTGATAAAGTATGCTGGTAAAAAGATAAACCATGAGTCACAGACTTGTAATTTGTAAACCCCAGATGAAGGCCTGTACACTGTGAAGTTTCTGACAGTCACCATTAGGGCTATACTATGTTTTTCCTGAGAAGGATGACATTGATGACATTTTGGATAACAACATCTTGAAAAAATTGCCACAGCGTTCCTGCAATAGTCCTGAACAATACAAATTCTCTTAGCTAGATTGATTTGTGAGACTTTTTTAATCAAGGAAGCATAAGACTAAATGATTTTTTTGAATCATCCTTACTCAAATATACATATATGCAGTATCAGGGATGCGAAGTTCCTTTCATTTTTCGGGACTCCAGGACTCTGGACTCCGATGACAAAAATCATGGACTCCATGGACTCCGACTCCGGACTCCGGAATTTTTTATTTTTTTCTTGAATTAAATGTGGTTTTTTTTTATCTGGAATTTTTGAAAAATTGATAGGCTACCATTAATATCGCAGAGCCCCGCGAAAAAGCAATTAACAGGAAATTCAGACCTCCTTTCTAACCAATGTCGCAAAATTTGCCTAAATAGGGTTTGAATCACGGATCCCTTGTTTTTTAGGCAAGTGCACTACCACTGCGCCACGGTTGCTTAAACCCAGAAGTTAATTTGTCCCGTATTTGCTGGATAGTAAAATTAATGAAAATAATACAACTCCAAAGAGAACTTTGATTTGATTTGTATTGTCACACGCACAGATTTATCAATTTCTCAGATTATTTTAAACCATATGATCATAAAATTATAAAAGGATTAAAACTTATATTTTCATTAACTACGTGCTAAATTATAAAGTTACAAGAAAACATTATTGCAATATCTACATCAAAAATATTCAAATAAAAAATTCGTTTGTTCGTAAAAAAAGCATATGGTCAATTAACTCAGATGTAAATCGACTACGATGGTCTGGAGTCATGTGCTTTAAGACTGAAAATAGTCGCTCAACACTGACTTGGGATATGGGTAGCGACAAAGCGACTTGGCAGGCATCCCGTAAAACTTAAGGAAACCACTCAATTGCTTTTAATGGGTTAAGTTTTAAAAACTCGTCTAAGTTGGGGGAGTTGTCTTTAAACATTGAACGAATTTCCGGAATCGTTTTTAGAGCTTGTCGAAACTCCGTTTCTATTACATTTAGCTGAATCTGCATTTGTTCTTCTGAAGAATTCTCTTCAATCTCCTGTTCACACAGCATAAATAAATTAGGTCGTCGCTTTGCGACTGGTGAAGCATTTTCCTCATTTGCTGAACTAGAGTCTGCAATATGAACTGTTAAAGAGTTGGACGCTATTGTATTTTTGGTTTTGTTCAGTTCATCATTCTTATTTTTATTAGCCAGTTGAATATTTTTATTAGCCAGTTTGTAATTAATTTTCCAAAGTCCATCAGCTGCAGCTATCTATAGAAACATTTATAGTTTTTTGAATATATACTTTTTATTGTTAAATAAATAAAATGTATATATATATAAATAAAATTTTATTAAAAAATGCAACCTTGTCTTCAGTCGCTGTCAGCATACAGCCATGCCTAATATCCATGTAAACTGCTGCAAGTAACAACAAATTTTCGCGTAGTGCGCTCTCTCTATTATCCATTCCTTTCTGGAAATCTTTGGCGAAGTTGCTGTCCTTCCCGTCTAGTTCACACTTTATTGAATTCCAATCAAAAAGGAATTCACCTGCTGTGATGTTTTCACGCTGAAGACGAATAGTAAGATCGAGTGCCATTTGCAATATATCTCTCAATTCCTCCCACAATCCCCAAAGATATGGTTGCACATTAAATTCTTTTGGAGCTTCTTTTTGCATATTCAAATTTCGAATTACTGGTCGAATCTAGAAGAACAGAAAAATTCATTAAATATATGTACAATGTTATTAACTACTTAAATGAAGAGGATTATTAAAGAAATATTTACATAAACGTAAATTTAAAAATTATTAAGTAATGTAAATGTCATTAATATTGAAATAATTGGATTTATATTATACCGGTTGGAAAAAAAAAAGAAAAAATACAGGTTGATAAAAAAATAAAAATAGTTTTATAAACTTTATTCAAAACTTTTTAAGTTTTAATTAAAGTTAAATAAATTAATTAAGGTAACTTATAAGTTATAACTTACCTTAATTAGCCTCTCAATCATATTGAACTGGCTAGACCAACGGGTAGCCTGATCTAAAATTGGAACGAGATGTGTAGCTTGGTCCCTGAAGAAGTCAATCCACTTAGAATTTCTTGCAGTTTTCACAACTTCTCTCGCATGACTAATAAGATTTTTTATTGTGAGCCTCTTCAATGCATCATTCACGGCTAACTGTAAAGTGTGGACAGCACATCTTTGAAGATGTATAACACTCATGCCACCGGCAACTCCACTTGCCAAGACTGCTGCTGCATTGTCCGCTGTAGAATTACCATTTTCGTCAAACTCATCAGTTTCTACTGAAAAATCGCCTTCGTCATTGTCAATTTCCTCAATGGCGCTGATGCCGAAGTCGCGCACCAACTTTATATTCACCTAAATATATTAAATACGATTTCAATAGTTAATTTAAAATTTAGTGAATATACGTTACAGTATATAAAAGATTTTATTGACATTTTAACAAACATCAAAACAGTTTATTTTTTTAATGATTTTATTCACTGAAAATATTGATTTTAATCATTGAATTTACACTTTTTCTTCATTTAAAAAAAATATAGATGAATTTCAAAATATGATACTTACTGCCGCATTGTCAACACTGAGGCCTAAAATATTAGTTTTATTGATTCCAAACTTAT